GCCCACAGGGCCCCAAATGTAGTCCTGAAGCATAGTTAGTGATCACTAAGCATTGGCTGCTGTTGTTATTGGGCTGAAGACTTGTGAGGCTTAAGTAGCACATGTAAAGTATCACAGCCTGGTCTCTTTTTATGCCAAGCTAAGTAACAAATAAAGCTGTTCTGATTCTTAAATGTCACCAATTAGGGTGGCGGGGGTGGTATAAAGACTCAGGAAGTACACAAAAAACACTTACAAAATCTTTTCTATATTTGGGAAGTCAAGAAATGGCAGTAAGTATATTGTGAAATCAGACATTTGTTTCTTCATTTTTTCTTTCACTTCATTTTATTCAGTGCTGTGTCAGACATCTCTGTATACCACTTCCATTCCATCAGCCCCATCTCTTACTCTGGACATCACTCAGCAAGTTCTGCACAGACTTTGTCCAGCTCCATGTAGATATCATCTGACCACACTTTGATTTGGCCATCATGCATACCCCTCTTTTCTTGTACCAGAGATTCTCTGATGCTGAGATATAGAATGTGTACATAAACCTCTCAGTACTTGGGCATGTGCAACCTGGAAGTACTGAATAAGCACTCATGACTAAAGTGGAGGGCATTACAGCAAAGGAGAAAATCAGTGAATTTTCCTGTGGATGTCAGCCAGCCTCCCCCCTCAGCCACATCATTGCTAAATGCAATGATCCTGGGCACAGACATACTTCGGTGACAAAAATGGAGGCTACATATGGTCCCAACAGCATGGGATTTCTCACATCAAGGCCAACTGAACTACTGCCACTACTGAATGTCTAACCTTCCAAAAGTAGAGATGTCAAGTCTCAATATGGCACTACCATCAAGGAGAGACATGTTGAATAACTTGGACCCCTGCAAGAGAGAACAATCCAACTTCAGTGCCTTTGCCAGCTGTTAAGATTATAGATAGTATGGGGTTTGCACAACACTGCATCAGGCAAAATGTCCCATTTTATAGCAAATGATATGAGTCAGTGGGCATATGGGATCCACTGGTATTACTATGTACTTAATCACCCAGAAGCAGCCAGACCAATAAAATGAAGTGGTATTAATAATTTAGCTAAGAGAACAACAAACTTCAGGATTGAGACTCTCCACAATGCAGTATATGCACTCCACTAAAAGATCGTAGATGATGCCATGTCCCCAGTAACCAGGATACATGGGAACCAAGGAATTAATGTAGGATTGTCCTCTCTCTCCATGATTCCCCTTGATCTATTTGTGGTTCCCATCCCTGCAACATTAGGCTTTGCTGGATTAAGTTGGATTAGGCTCTGCTAGGTCCTGGGAAGGATGGGGACAATGATGATGCACAAATATAGGATTCCACTTAACCTGAAAGAATAAAACCATCTGAAGAAAGCTTTCTAATGGATTTGACAAAACAAAGACACAAACATATTGGAGGGATGCAAGGGATGGACTGTATCATTCATATCTTTTGACTCTACCCCTTACTTCAACCACATTCTCAGTCATCACTTTTTTTAGATTTACATAAGCTTCGTGCAGGTGTCTTGCTTCAGCCTGATGTGAACACCTGCAAGAACACAACACTCATGCATGAGCAAAGCAAAAGTGTGAGGAAATTATACCTATTATCCACCACTGGCCAATGAAGGGTTGTACACAATATCTATTGGTATGTAACCAACTATCCAAACCTTAATGGTAAAAAATAACAACTATTTTATTCTACTCACAAATTCTATGAGTCGGAAATCCATACAAGGCATAATAGGGATGGCTTGTCTCTGCTCCATGATGTCTGGGGTCTCACTTGGGAAAACACAGGTGGCAAGGAGTGACTAAAAGTGGATGGGGAATCACCTAGAACAGTGCTGTCCAATAAAAATATAATTTCCTCATAGCCACATTAAAAAATAAAAAGAAACGGATAAAATTAATTTTAACAATATTTTTCTCTAAAACAATATATCCAAAATATTATCATTTCTGCATGTATTCAATATAAAAAAAAGACATGTTAACATTTTGTTTTTTGGGTGGAAGTACTAAATCTTTGAAACCCAGGAGTAGTTTGTGCTTTCAGAACATCTTCATTTTGATTAGCCCCATTTATTTTTTTATATGTTATGTATATTTTTTATTTTGAATTAATTGTAGATTCACATTAAGTTGTAAGAAATAAAAATAGACATGACACCAAGAGCACAGACTACATCAAATTTAAAACTTTTGTACATAAAAGGGAACAGTCAACAGAGTGACAAGGAACTAGTGGAATAAAAAAAAATTTACAAATCATATATCTGGTCATTTCTTTTTAGGGGTGCCTATTTTCTGTTATTTATATTGGGTAATTTCTATTGTTCTGTTTCTATTTTCTTTGTCCATACCCACTGAGCTTTTTATTTTGGTTATTGTATTTTCCAGTACTATGATTTCCATTACATTCTTCTTTATATCTTCAACTTCTCACTTTCTATTTCTTTAATGAAGCTTTCTATTTTTTCATTTGTTTCAAGAGATAGACTAGCCCCATTTAAAGTACTCTTTAACCACATGTGGGCAGTATTTTTATATCAAGCAATACTACAGTTCTAGAGGCTTCCTCACTGCTCTTCCTGAACCCTAGGCTGGGATGACCTGAAGGCTATGCTCATGTGGAATTGTCCGGCAGAATACCTGCATGTAATTTGGGCTTCCTCACAACATTGCAGTCTCAAGCTAGTCAATCTTCTGACATGGTATCTCAGAGCCCAAGAGTGACTGAGTATTTCAGTGATGAAGGTGGAAGCTCCATGGCTTTTCCCAACCTAGCCTCAGCTGTCACATGACTGAACAATAGTCACTAGCCCTCTCTCTTTCAAAATAAGAGAATATAGATCCCACTGCTTGATGATAGAGAAGGGGATCAAAGTGGCCACATTTTCTAAATGCCATAGAGATGAAAACCAAGAGATACATGCTCCCCCTTTGTTTCCCCAGGCAAAATATTCTGAGATGCATTCAAAAGTCTCAATAGAATCAACCCACAACTGGTTGAGTCCCTCACTCCTGCTCCTAGGAATACTTTCCAAGTTATCTAGTGTTCATGCTCAGCTTTCAGGGGAACCTAGACTAAGAAGACCCTACCGGTGTGGCTCAGTGGTAGAGCGTTGGTCTGGGGACTGAAAGGTCCCAGGTTTAATTCCGGTCAAGGGCATGTACATTGATTGCGGGCACATCCCCAGTAGGGGGTGTGCAAGAGGCAGCTGGTCGATGTTTCTCTCTCATCGACGTTTCTAGCTCTCTATCTCTCTCCCTTCCTCTCTGTAAAAAATCAATAAAATATATTTTTAAAAGAATCGGGCTTTACACTGAGTAGAATCAAAAAGCCATTGGAGATCCAGTCATCGTGGCTCAGTGGCTGAGTGTTGACCTATGAACCAGGAAGTCATGGTTCAATTCCCTGTCAGGGCACATGCCTGGGTTTCAGGCTCAATCCTGAGGAGTGGAGTGGGGTGATGGTGGGGGGCTATGCAGGAGGCAGCCAATCAATTATTCTCTCTCATCATTGATGTTTCTATCTCTCTCTTCCTTTCCTTTCCTCTCTGAAATCAATAAAAATGTATATAATTTTTAAAAACCTATTGGAGGGTTTCAAACAGGATTGAATTGATCTAACTTCTTTTTTAAGAAACTCACTTTGGTTGCAATGTGCAGAATGAACTAAAGAGGAGCAAGGACAGAATCTCAATGAGAGACAATGATGGCTTGGATCAGGTGGAGCGAGTGGAGATGGTAAGCAATAATAAGATGCTGGACATATTTTTCAAAGAAAAGCAAACACATTCGATAATGGATTGGATGTGGGACATGAAACAAAGAGAGGAGGCCAGGGTGAAGATTCTATGTGAGGAGTCACACAACCAGGTGCCAGAAACCAATCACTCTTTCATTAATAGAGGGATGTTGACAGGAAGGCTGGTCAACAACCTTAATTGTTCTAACCACTCATCCTTTAGTTGAAACATTGTTTGTTAGCTGAAGCAGCCTCCACCTCTATTATTTACGTAAATTTCTGTTATTGGAGTTTCCTGCCCAAGGGCTATGGGTGTATCCCATAGTCTCAATAAAAGGGATAGCATGGCCAGAGCTCCAGTGTAGACATCCCACTAGAGGTGGGCTCCCGCTGGCCCCCAATATCCCCAAATTAAGGCTTTTCTAGTCTCTTTTCATTTGTGTGAGGCCTTCTCCAGCACCTGAACCCTGAACTGGAACCCTGAACCATGGGGGACATGAAAGGGGCTCCCACAACCAGGTTTACACATTAGAGAATTCCTTCTAGTAATCACCCCTGTTAATAGGCTATTTGTGCACTTGAAAATAGTTAATTTCTGAGGGAAAAACTCTGATTTAGAAGAATAATTAAACCTCCTAAGGAAGGATATTTAATAAAATATTGTCACTCTTGTTGACAGTAAAGAAAAAGTCATCTAAGTATTCCTTCTGCAAAAAAAGCATTGAGGAAAAGTAAAGATTGAACTCTAGTATATACATACATGACCTTTACAAAGAGAAAGGAAGAAGAAAGTAGTTCCTTTACAGAGACAAAGAGGAAGTTAAGGGAAGAAGCTGTTTTAACCATAGAGCTCAGTAAATTAACATTCTTCCTATAGGAATTTCCTAATCCACATAGGATGTAAGAGCTCTTCCCACACAGTTTCAATTCCTGTCTTGGCTAAGTTCCTTGTCACTAATTTTGACACTCTTGCCTATATCCATTGGACAGTTAGTTGGAAAGCCACAAATCATTGTTTCCTCAACCTCCTATTGCATTCCCAGACTTGTTCCCTTTCTTAGAAATATCCTGTTGCTGATTGTATAGACAAAGCACAGCATTCTTCTGCCCTGTAACTTCCTGATCCTCCTCTTATAAGTACAAGGGCAGAGCTTGGTCCACAGAATCAGGGAGCAAAGAGCCCAGGATCCTCAGGCCAGAGCTGTCTGCACACTGGAAAGATGAAGGTCCTTGCAGCTGTTCTCTCCATCCTCCTCCTTGCTGCTACCCTTGGATCCTCTGCCCATGGATACCCTGCCCATGGATCCTCGTATGCTCGTGAGTTCAATGAGCCTTCTTTCTGTGGACAATTGAGGGATAACTTGCAGTTAGGGAAGAAACACAGAGGGACACTCACATGCAACATAGAGGTGAATTTGGCACTTGATTACAAGGAGTAGCAGTAGGTATAGACCTTTTTCTGTAGCTTTTGATCCATGAAAAAACCATATATAGAAGACTTGTTCCTCTTGGGCAAACAATTCTCTCCCCTTTCATGGCCAGAGTTATTTACTACTTTCTCTTAGATCAAAAGAACTATACTAAACTTATAAATCTGGAGAAAGAAGCATAGAACCCTATGTTAGAACTATTATATACAATGTATTGTGTAACTATCATTTTGAAGAAGAAATGGGACAAGCTGGACAAGTGATCCACCTAAGACCACCTAATTATTCTATTTATTTTTTTAAAAACAAAGATCTAGCACTGTCTATGTGCAAGCAGGCACAGCTCTAATTGTCTTATAGATATTAACTCATTGAATCATCCTAACAACCCTGTGGAATAAACTTGAATAGTTATTCTTCTTGAATAGTTATTCTTCAGCAACTTGAATAGTTATTCTTCTCATTTTATAAATGAGAAAACTAAGGCACAGAAGCCTTTGATAATTTGCTTAAGATCACACAGACAATCAGTAGAGACATTAGGATATGAGACAGGAAGCCATTACAGAAAAACAAGGCCACTTAAGACTTTATTTTTAAGCCCCACACACATCATATCAAGTAACATATCATATGCCTCATGAGTATAATTCATAAGTAACTATGAAGTAATGAGCTAAAAGTTTAGTTGTGTTTACCTAATTAGCGTAATGCAGGTTTACAGTCCCTTACCCAAAATATTGGGTCTAGATCAATGGTTCCCAACATGGGACACACCCCAAAGGGGGGCCATTTGATTTTTAAAAGGGACAATTTGAGAATGAGTTATTAACAGTGAATTTTTTTGCATTTCGTATGGTCTAAGGACCTCATATACAGTATATAAATATATATGTGACATAGTTATGCATTTCAGTATTCTATTATGTTTTGAAATCTTATTTGCTATTTTTTCATATCATTTCATATTATTTTTTAAACAATTTTTTAGTGATTTCTTCCTCAGTACTTCAACTGTCCTTTTGTTCTTTTATTTTTTTCTTTCATGGATACCGTGTTCCCTGGAAGCTTGTTTAGACAAGTTAATGGCCTTTTAGGCTTCCTCCATGTGAATAGGAGTTTGCTTTTTAAATGATAAGAATTATATGTCCCATGGGATCATCAGTATTTTAAGAGATGCTTAGGTGTGGCATGGCCAAAAAAAAAGGTTGAGAATCACTGGTCTAGATGACTTTTGGAATGCAGAATCTTTCAGGTTTTACAAAGGTAATACAGCCCTGGCTGATTTTCTCACTGGTTGAAACATCTGCCCTCACATTCCCATTCTAGGGTAGGGGGTTAGGCTGAGAAATGGGATAAGTAGAGAAACTGAAACATTATTGCCTCCCAGTGATTTCTTTCCTTCTTGTCTGTTTCTCCCAAATAGAACCTAGAATGGGCATGCATCAGTTGAATCGCATAAGGCCTTCTCAAGGTAAATGAGCCTGGCCAGTGTAACTCAGCGGTTGAGTGTTGACCCAGGAACCAATAGGTCACAGTTCATTCTGGGTCCAGGCACATGCACAGGTTGCAGACTCAATCCCCAGTAAGGGCTGTGCAGCCTTTTTCTCATTGATGTTGCTATCTCTCAATCCCTCTTCCTTCCTGTCCTTCTAAAAAAAAAAAAATCAATGATAACACGTGTTTTTTTTTTTTTTTTAAAGGGTCAATGTTTAGTTGTGGCATATATTTAAAATCAGCTGGAAGGTACAGACCTACTCAGTGGCTCCATTCACCCTGTTTAGAGGACATGGGGAGAGGGGAAGGGTGCTGAAGATGGCGAACACCTACAGGGAAGATCAGATTGGGCCATGGGTCCCTCCTCCATAGATGACCTCTCTTCCTCCTGCCTGTCCTGGAGAAACCTCACCTAGGGGAGAGGGTGCTCTCTGATGCCTCCTTCAAGCAGCAAACCCTCCACTTCTGGGAGAAATGGTCCTGGCCCTGTTGTGTCCTTGGCCTAGGTGCCCTCAGACACAACTCAACCTGGGGAAGAGTGAAGCAACGAGATGCCAGCAAATGCTGTAGAGGAGGAAAACAAGCCCTTTGAGCCCTGTGCCTTCTCACCCTCCCCCGTACTTTGGAGGGAAGGAGGAAAGGAAATAGTCCTTAAACTGCCTTTTCTCTTACTACAGACCATCGCCATCCTTCTGACTGCTGCCTGGGCTATACCTCACGAAAAATCCGATGCAGTAACATGAAAAGTTACTATCTAACGACCAGTGGGTGCGCCCAGCCTGGTGTCATGTAA